TGTTTGTTGTAAGATTTGTAATAATGACAGAAAAATACTAATTTGTGGATCTCATTACTTCTGGGTGCAACCCTGCCGCTGTTGTGGCTGGTGTATTCTGGGAAATTTTCTTACCCCTTGGTTTCAAATGTGGTTCTGAAAAATCTTCATTTGAAGGGGTATCTAGCCCTTCCCCTAATGCTGCGTTTACACTAGACGTGGAAGAAGTGTCAAGCGCGAGTAATTTACATGTTAAGTCAATGCAAAGGTGCAAATAGACATCCTGCGGTGCAATATGCGCGAATGCCGTGATCTGTTCACCGTGAAATGGTCGTTTTGCGCGTTTAAAACTTTAGCTGACATTCACGCCACATTAATTAATTACCATTACGAATACTACTGTTTGTTATTTTAAATACATAAGCACACTATTGTTATCTGTATAACAAAACTGATTAGTTTAGTAAACACAGTGACACATTGCTGATATATTTTAGAACATATTATTTAAAATGCATAGTGCTGTATAGCTCAGAAAAAAAATTGTGATTTTATTTTAATTTTTTTTATTTTAAATATATCTATAGCTATTTTGCACTTTAAATATACACAGCTTATTTTTCATAAATTGTTGACATGCCACCTTTAATTTGTGGTTAGTTTCAGGGTTTATACACATTTTTTACAACTAAAATTCCATGATTTTTTCATGACTTTTCCTAAACTTTCAAGTACATTTTCGTGACCTAACGTTTCATGTAATGTCTATTAATATATACACACACATCGTTAATAATACGAAAAATAATGCACGTTCAAATTTATTACAGCATATCATAAAACAAAAAACAAATCTATTTAGTTAGAATTTTTTTTTTATATATCTATTGTATGTAACATTTATTTAGATATTGCTTACACATGGCGGGCAGATGGGCGGATGGACGGATAAACGGACGGACGAATGCTTGTTTGCTTGCTCGCTTACACAACATTCATAATGTGAGACCATGTTTTTGGCTAAAGACAGAAAAGAAGTAAAGACAACTAACCAATATTCAAATTTACAGTCATTTTAAAACTAATTTCTATGACCTTTCCAAAACTTTGTGGGGCTGTTTGTTTTTCCACAACTTTTCCAGGCCTGGAAAATGCCATGTCAAAATTTTATTACCTTATGAACCCTGTAGTTTGCTTATAGATTTAATTTTTGAGCAGCTGTTATGTTTTTGTTTTGTTTAAAATACGTAAAATTTATGGTTGTCTATAATAACGGATTTTTTAGCGCTGATTTTCACCAAGTTGATTCTGAATGATAATTCAGATTAGTTTATTTCAAAAAGGTTTTATGTTTGTTGTATATTGTTGCTAGTTGTCATACTTAACCTGTGAAGGAATGTTTAAGGGTTATTGCAAACTTTTATGACACTGAAGTAACTTTAGTTTTTCCTTCTTCTTTTTTTTTCTGAATATATTATTTAGCTGGTTTATCATCTTGTGATATTTTCATTTTTGTGCTGCCGGTCTGACTTAAATAAATTAGTGTTTAAAAACTACTTTTTATTTGAGTTTGTCAAGTGTTTTAGTAGTGAGAATGCAAATTAATTAAAACTGTGAAGCGGATCAACGGTGTATTCTCCATACAGCACTTGCGTGTCGTTAAAAGAGCATTGATGGGAGCATTAAAAATGTTCTTTGACAAAAGTAACTCAAATTACTTTTAACAATGCTGCATTACTTTTTGTTGTAAGTAATCCATAAAGTAATTGACTTATTTTTTGAATAAGGTAACTAACTGTAACTAGTTGCTAATTTTCAGTAACTAGCAAAACCCTGATTTTCACATTAAAAAACATGTTAGCATTAAAAATGTAAGTTCTTAATTGGAAACAATGGATCCAGTATTGTGCTAAATGGTTCTCTTTTGCTTAACCATTCCATTCAGTGCGGATCCAGGCCAGTCAGCTTTGAAACAGTTTAATTTTCCTCATTGAAAAACAGAGCTCTCTGAAATGCAAATGTGTCAGTCATTGGTTTGATAACACTTAGGTGTAATTTAAACAGCGATATGAAGGATGATCCGACATTTCCTTTTTTGAGACATTTACTTTGCAGAATAAAAAAAAAAACATGCTTCGGCTTAGCCAGTGAAACTGGTAGCCAGGCAACCGAATGGTGATGACATGCTCACACACGCTCTACCACAAGGGTTCCCAAAGTTTTCAGCCCGCAGGCCCTAATAGGCCTATATAAGCATATTGACAACACAAAAAAGTGCAACAGTCTAACGGCCATAGGCTATAATTTAAAGTCATTTATTAATTTGTTTATATATTAATTTAATATTGACTGGAGGGCACAATGTTTTCAGCACAAGTCTATTCTTGGTTTAACTTTGAAGACCGCCACTCAGAGATCATCCTCAATTTTCAGTTGTGGCCTGTATTTATTTTAAATGTATTTGAGTGCCACAAAGATGCAGAAAGTTCAACCTTGTACTATAAAATCAATTTGCTGCAGCTGACGCTACTGTTGTCTTGTTAATCTACCGTAAACACACCAATCCTATGAAAAAAAAATTAAAAGGCTGATGGCTTTTTATTTATGTAACGGGGATGTGAAGTGACGCTGACAACAGGGTCCAAACGCAGGGTTTTAATAACAGGAGGGTCAGACAAGCAATGATCAACACCGGAGCAAACAGATATGTAAGGGCAATCCAGAATCATAGTCAAAGTAACAGGCAGATGGTCACAAGGCAGGCAGAAAACGGGAATAAATAAATGAACAAGATGAGGATCAAAACATGGCTAAGCAAGACAAAGGTAAGTGCATTGTAATGTCACTTACACAGATAAAAAGACTCAAAAACTGTGAGACTTTGTTTGAGAGGTGTATATATAGTCTGTGTAATCAGTCCAAAAGCAGCTTCAGCTGTGAGTGTCTAATCAATGGTGACTTGGAGCAGGTGAGTGTGTTTGTTGCATGACTGGGATCTGTAGTCCATAAACCGACAAATTTGTAGTTCGTATGAATGTGAATGTTTTCCAGCAATCTATTGTGTTTAGATTGTTGGTGATTATGACAATTTGCATGTTGTTGCTTTTTTATGTAACGATTAACTACTATTTTTATCTTCTGTGGGTTATGGATAAAATATTGTCATTCTAATAGTTTAATAAAATTTATTTGACTTTTGGAGATCATCAAGTGATCCTCTGTCATTGCCCCGCAAACCTCATTTTGGGAAACCACTGCTCTACCAATCCAGTACAGTTCAGCATGGTTGCGTAACCATGCCTAGAACTCCAGGCTTTAAACATTTCATACAATTTTGCCGCACTATACCCGGCACACGTGGAAATAAAACTGAAACCATACCTGACTGTTCTAAGAACTATAGAAAAGTGGCCAATGTTTTCACAAAGAACCTTTCAAATTTCTAAGACCTTGCACCAAATTGGTCAATGGTAGTGGAAAAAAGTATTTTATAACTAAAATATTCTTATTAGAAAAAAATATGTTCCTATATAAACTAAGGTTGCTATGGCATCAAACCAAAGTGAACTGTTTTTATAATAATAACAATAATAATAATAATAATAATTATTATTATTATTATTACGATTAGTATTATTATTAATATTTCTATATGAGTTTTTATCAACACAATCTCACGACAAGTCGTAACTTTTTGATTTAGTGACTAATTTGTATGAATCTCATCTGTACAGTTTAGTATGATTTGTTTATCCCCCAATGATGTTTAATGGCAGGGTTGGGTGCCACACCTCCTTTTTAACCCTTCACCAGTGTGATCTGCCTTGTCTGGTCCCTGAAGCATATGATCACACTGGTGTGATTAGAACATTCAAAGCGCACGCCATCAACTGCTAAAATTCAAATCTGACTTCGCGGATCGAGGCACAGTTGTCACAAATCACAATTTGTTTATGTTTTCAAACAAATAAAATTTATCTTAGGTTTCAGACATTCAATTACACATAACTACAAGCAAAACATACCATTTAAGGTTTGTAAAATACACACAGATGTCTACTGAGACGGCGTTAATACTTACTTTTCGAAATAACTAGGCTATCTGCTTTATTCATGTAAGATACACACTGTTTATGTTCTCTATTCCTCTCCCAGATAAACAGTTGCTTCCCTTCAAGTATTTTGGAAGAAACTTATGAATAAACATGACGTAAATCCAGCAGCTCGTAGCTTTCCTGCGGATATTGCTAGAAGGGATACAGCTGTGATCAGAAGTTTAAGAGAAGTATTGATGTGAGTGTCCTCAGCTGTATCCCATCTAGCCTTTACAGAGCGGCAGGGCAGGACAAGTCTTGATGGGATACAGCTTATGATACTTGCGTTAATATGGTCTTAGCCATCAATATGGACACATATATATTTTTGTCCTTTATACATCTTAATAAACGCAATGAATTCTAAGTAAAGGTCACAAAAAAAATAATAAATTGTACATTTTCATATGACGGAAGCCACTAAATGGACAAATAGTTACGTTTCCTCATGAGATCAGGCTGATTTTTATAGGTCAAATTACTATTGTTTTTGACAAAATCAATATTACTATGAAACATGAATGCTTAAATCGCAAGTAATGATCACATTTATAATGAAATAAACACAAAACAAAACTAAAAACTAAAATCTCAAGTGAATGATGGCCAGGTTGAGAAAATAACAATAACTGACCAACTTCTGAAAACTTGAATGAAGGCTTTTAGGATTACAGCTCTCTTATTCTGTATGAATGGAATGTTAGCAAAGCTTTGGGCGAAAACAAATGGGACCAAATAGTGTCATTGACATACAGTATATGACTAAAGCTTTAGAATCTGTTGTAAATCCTCAGAATAGCCAGTAGCCACTGCACTGAAAATACCATATTGATTTGACAATTTGGATAATGTATAGTGAAGGATTTGTGATTGTGTACGTTAAATGAAATAAACAGAATATAACTTGAACAATAATTCAAAACTCACCCCAACCTCCACATGATCTGAACCTTTATCGTCCTGCTTGTGGAGAATCTCAAAGTAGTATCGTCTGGAGGCCATCAGACTGAAAGGGAAACAATGAACATGAAATATTGAATCTATTAACAAATATTCATCAGCTGGAGTACCCACCAGATTCACTTGATTGCCTTTCAGCTATATGAACACTCAACCAACCATTTACCCGGACTACACCTCCCATCAAGCTTTACATCTCACAGCTGAGACTGATCTCAAATCTAGACAATGAAACACAACTGCTTATTATTGATTACAAACATTATATAAACACCACACTCACAAACCTTCTGGATGGTATATTGTTTTGTATCGTAAACTTGTTTTGTGTTGTAAACTTGTTTTGTGTACGTAAACGTAAAAAAGTTTCTTGTTTTCTTTTTTCCTTATTTTGATTGCCAGACTGTTTCGTGTTTTATGATTATTTCCACCTGGCCAGACATTGTCCTGTTTGTTCCATAACTCCTGTTTAGCCTATAATTTTATGTTGGTCTTCTATTACTACATTACGATACCATATTGTATCTCATTATAACCTATACTGTAACAATAAAGTGGATTATTGCTGTTCGAAAAATACAGCAAAAGCAATGTGATATCAAACTAGCAAGAACACAATACAGTAAATCATAAAATAGTAGCTTTTCATATTTTTTGGCATGCACCAAATCATATATTATGGTGTAGCACATCATGTATAAACATTTTGCATATTGTTTTCTCTAGTGTTCGAAAAACTCAATCAACATATTACATTCTGCATCATTTGTTTACTTTATTATTTACTGATTTAGGTAATTTACTTTGTTTGCTCCTACCAATTCCTATAACATTTGCATTATTCTGCAACTCGTCAAATAAATACCAAACATATTGTGTTGTGTTCACTGGTATCTAGAAAAAACAAGTGAGCAAATAATCTAAATGCAGCTTAAATTTTACTTAATCAGAAACAAAGATGGTAATCTACATGGAAATAAACATGAGGAACACAAATCTAACAACAAAAAAGTCAAACAAACACAAACAAACAAACAAACAAACAAGTCTTATCACATTATTTTATTTCTGTGTGTAGTATCTTAATACAACTTATGGCAACTTATAATAAAACACTGATATATAACATGCTTGAGCTTGGAAAAGTGTTTAAACATGTTTTAACAAATGAGGTTATTTTACTATAATAATAATAATAATAATAATAACAATAATAACAATAATAATAATGATGATGAAGATAATAGTGTTAATAATAATAATAATAATAATAACAATTGTGTTAATTAAATTGATAAAATAATGATAATTGCATTAATTAAATTGATATAATAATAATAATAATAATAATAATAATAATAATAAGAAGAAGAAGAAGAAGAAGAAGAACAATAATTATTATATTAATAACAACAATAATAATTATAATAAATGTAATAATTAAATTAATCATTAATAAAAATAATAATAATAACAATATAATAATAATAATTGTATTCATTAAAATGATAAATTAATCATTTATAATAATAATAATATTATTATTGATAATAGTAATAATAACAACAACTATAATAATTGCATTTAAATTGATCAATTAATCATTTATAATGCTAACAATTATATTAATTGATTTGATAAATTCATAATAATAATAATAATAATAATAATAATAATATCAAAAACAATGGTAATAATTGCATAAATTAAATTAATCATGTAATAATTTATAATAACAATAATAATATTTATTATTATTATTACTATTATTATTATTATTATTATTATTTTGTAATTATTTCTGTTGTTTTTAATCTTTAAAATATATATAATATTATAAATTATTGTCCTTCTATTTTATTAATATATAGCACTTCTTAAAAAAAATAAGAAATGATAGGAATTTCAAAATGAAATGAAAATGAAATGTAATCCTGTTTTAGAAAGTTTGAACTTTGTTAAAATCAGGATAATAGAACAAATTTTGTGGAAATTCTGTTTGATTCCTTGGTTAATTCAAAATATATATACCTAATTTACTTAAAATCAAAATAATATATTGACACTTATAATATATAATATATAATATTAATCAATATTTTGAAAACAACATCATATATTGACTGATTTAAAAAAAAAAGTATTTTGGGCACATTTGTGTTGGTTGTGCATGAGCAAATGACTGAATCTGTGTGGTCTGCTGTGTCACTCGTCTCATCAAAATCGCATCTCCTCAAATGGGCCACATCTGCTGTTAGACCAGCACAATTAGAGCCCTGCTTGATTTCACACCTTATTACACCTCCAAATGTGACACATTATAAACATCGCTTACTGATGTGACTCGATCTGTCACTCTTCCATCAATACATCACTTATGTCTTTTACAGAGAACAAAATGGCAGTTAAGCAAAGCCCAAATCTGCGGGTTTAAGCTTGTTATATTTACATGTGCTAATTATTTTATATTCGTCTTTTTGGTGCCCTGGCAATTTGAGAGATGATGTTTGCAACATGAGGATCCTGATGAGTAAATTTGCTCATGCATATTAATGAGCGTCGCTAATGCATGAGGCATAATTCAGCTCAGATGCTAGCACAAATGTCTTGTTTGCACCAGTGGGCCTATGAAATACTGAGAGCAAAATGAAAGAGGGAGAACAGATGTAGGAAAAAGATAAATAATCGATGAACTGAAAAGCATGAGAAATGAAGAAAAACGCCTGTGGTGCTACTAAAATGAGAGGTTTAAATTAAAATTAATGACAAAGACCCCTCATTTATATATATATATATATATATATATATATATATATATATATATATATATATATATATATATATATATATATATATATATGAATGAATTAAATAATAAATAAATAAAAAAATAAAAAAAAATCTAACAGTATTGTAACAGTTTAAAATACATTTAAATAAAATAAATATATAAATAAAAAATGAAAGGAAAAAAAAAATTATATATATATATATATATATATATATATATATATATATATATATATATATATATATATATATATATATATATATATATATATATATATATATACACACACACACAATGCATCCAGAAAGTATTTATAGCACTTCACTTTTTCCCCATTTTTTTATATTATATTCTTATATCAGAATGGAGTAAATTCATTTTTTTTCCTCAAAAGTCCTCACACAATACCCTATAATGACAATGTGAAGAAAAGATTTTTTGAAATTATTGCAAACTCATAAAAAAATTAAAAAACCCCGAAAAATCACATGTTAAGTATTCACAGCCTTTGCCGTCAAGCTCTAAATTGAGGTCAGGTACATTCTATTTCCATTGATTATTCTTGAGATGTTTCAGCAGCTTAACTGGAGTTCACCTGTGGCAAATTCGGTTGATTGAACATGATTTGAAAAGGCATACACCTGTCTATATAAGGTCCCACGGTTGACAATGCATGTCCAAGCACAAACCAAGTATGAAGACAAAGGAATTGTCTGTAGACCACCGAGACAGGATTGTCTCGAGGCACAAGGCTGGGCAAGGTTACAGACAAATTGTGCTGCTCTGAAAGTTCCAATGAGCACAGTGGCCTCCATCATCCGTAAGTGGAAGATGTTTAACCACCAGGACTGGAGTGGAGAGCGGCCAGACGGAATCCACTCCCCATCTGGAATTTGCCAAAAGGCATCTGAAGGATTCTCAGACCATAAAAAACTAAATTCTCTGGTCTGATGATACTAAAATTAAACTCTTGAATGCCACGCATTTTGTTTGGAGAAAACCAGACACCGCTCATCACTAGCCTAATACCATTCCTACAGTGAAGCATGGTGGTGGCAGCATCATGCTGTGGGGATGTTTTACTGCAGCAGGAACCTAGATAAATCTAGATTACAATGGCTCATTTGAATTTGCTAAAGGCTTTCAGATTATATGTGCTACCCAAATATAAGTCTTTGAGAACGGGTTTCTCAAGCCAGGTGCGCATTAGATCAGGGACTCATCTCCTATTTCCAAAATCACAAACTGCTTGAGAAACTGTTCTACTATGATAATTGGTGATGAAAACAATAATATGTACTTGTGTTTACAGTTTATTCAGTTAAACATGAGTTTGAACTATAGGCCTACATAAGCTCGAAACAGCGATTTTTGATGATTTAAATCCAACTAGAGTCATAACTGAACTAAACAGAAATGGAATTAAGACATGTGGAGTATGCATATATTAGTGGCATTATTGAAGTAAACACCACGATCAAACTATTACCGTCATGTAGCACTTTACGCCATATTTTCCGAAAAGATCCACACATGCGGCTGTCAGTAAAGGACCGCACACACACACACACACACACACACACACACACACACACACACACCGCAAAATGCAGAAGTTTTTGTTTACTTTCCATTTGGTATGCTTTAATAAATTCCACAACACTCTCACCAGTCCTTACACTTTATTTGCATCATGTCACGGTGGATGAAAGAAATGTTCATGAGTTAAAGTGAAACTGCCGAACTGCAGTTAAAGTCAGGCATCCTGCTGATTTGATTCAGAAGGGCACTTTTTTGTCTGACGGCTCACCGGTCAGGTATACATCTACGCTAAAATATGTGTAAAATATGTGAAAGATGACGGCTCACCACTAAATATATATAATATAATATAATATAATATAATATAATATAATATAATATAATATAATATAATATAATATAATATAATATAATATAATATAATAACTATACTATACTATACTATACTATACTATACTATACTAGAATAGAATATAATAGAATAGAATATAATAGAATAGAATTATAATATCGGCCTTTTATATTAAAAGTTACTAAAAATGCAGGCATTTATTAAGGTCTTTATTAAAGTATTTATACAAGTAAATTAATGTTTATTTATTAAACATAACAATAAAATACATTTATACAAAATTACAAAATGTATAAAAAAAATTATAAGATTTAATTTAATAAAAAAATACATACTTTAAGAGAAATGCAGTAAGCAATTG